AACCAGAAGTTTTCACGTAGCATGTCTCAAGCGAAAATAAGAGCATCGTGAGAGATTCATAGTTTAATCACCATTTTTTGTTAAAAAGGCTCATTGGATATGGTGGTTGAGTTCTTTAATCTCCATAATTACACCCTATGTAACCAATCTAAAAGCAAGATACGGTTCAGATGAATGGACCACAAGTTCCATTATCTTGAAAGAGTGTATTAAGAAATCTCGTATTGAAAGTTTAAGGGATCGGAGATAAAACACATGATCCAAGATGGTGATATGATCATGGGAAGCAACATGGAAATTATGATGGGGTCGAGAAATCAGCAGCTGAATCGGAGCTCAATCCAACTAGATGCACATTTCGAATCTGACCAGAAAGGACATATGTTCACTGTTCAAAGTGTATCTTCCTAACCACTACGAGTCTACACATGAAACAACTTGCGTAATATCCTCAGCTCATTCACGGAACACCTCTAAGAAGAATCAGATCAATCGGAGCTCAAATGAAAAAGTTATTCAAGTTACAAGTCAGGTGATTTCCTGTAAACGCGATTCAGACCCATGCACGTTAAATGACTAATTCCGACCGGACCAGAATGAGTTAACAAATCAAATTGATCTACAATCTTGATCCATTAGAGAAGCCCATGAAGTTGGTTTCGGCCCAAAAGCAATCAAACAAGATCAGATTTCGTCCAAGTTCAAAGAAGCATTTATTGAAGTGTTGTTCTCTCTCTTACATGCAATTGAGAGTTCAATTTCTATTCTCGAGATGCTCTGCATGTTGAGCAATGTTTATGAACGTTTTATGATGTAATTTTCTCTATATAATGAGGCTGATTTCATGAATAAAAGTTAAGCCTTTGATAAATATTTTTGGAAACTTTTGAGAGTGATTCTCATTTTTCTTTCAATGGTGTGTCATATCCATTGAGCAACTTGGCTCGTCTTGGTGTGTCATATCCAAGGAGTCATCGNTCCGTCTCGGTGCGTCATATCCGAGGGATC